GGTACTGACGTTGTTTATCATCTTAATTACGTGTTATATAGTGTTCTTTTATTTGTCTTTGTCATACAAGTGAGAGGTTTTGCTAGCTATAAAACCAGGTTTAATTCACCATTTTCTACATAAGAAAATGCCTGTACCAGGTCAGGAATATGACAGTTGTTATCCATTCGTTTGATGTGTTTTGAGTTTTTGATTTTGCTATTTGATTATGGACTTTCCGAATTGAATTTTCCTCGGAGTTCGGTATTCTTGTTATTTTATTTTTTTTTTCTATTATCGCTTCTATATATTCATATCCGCTTCACACAGGAGGTTCGTTTAATATATATTGATGCACATGTCTGCCCGTTAGACAAAATGTTTAAACATTTCACCACAAGGTTATGAACCAAAAATATAGGCGAAGTTCGATTTTGACTGCATAGTTCAAGATTTATAATCATCTTATAATTATCTTATTTTTATTTGATTATTCATGAAAAAAGTAACACTTTTCTGTTACTAAAAAAAACAAAACTCAACGATAGGATTTTCAAATACTATCCGAAAAGTTGATCTTATAATGTTCTTTCAGACAATTAATAGAGAAATTGGGGTCATGGAACAAAATCACTTTCTACAGAACAAATTTGTAAATTCACTGAGCATCCCTTTATAAAAATTTGATTATCTAAGTTATCTCCTCTTATTTTGATAAGTTGGAAAGCAAATAAACCCTGTGTTAGAAGAAACATTCGAAATATGCTTAAAAGATTCCTTTGCTTTATTAACCAACAGTCTTTGTTTTGAAACACAAAAAAAAACAACATATCTCAACAGACATTGTAGTTAATATTGCTTCAAATTGTTGAAATAATTTGTATGCAATAAGTTTTCAGTAAGTGTTAGTTGATACTTTATAATATTTCAACTATAGTTGGAAATATTCTAGTTGAGGAAAGATGAAACGGAAATAAATCATAATATGTTAATTTGCGTAACAATTCTAGATATAAGTGAGAACACAAGATCAACGGTACAAAATTATATACCAAGGATTTTCTATTTATTTTCAATGGGAACCACAATGCATTGGAAGCTCTTGACTGGGTCAGTATACATAATTTCCAAAGAAATAAACAATCAATTCAGGTATTATGTTGTCAAGTTGTTGTCTTATTGATATGAAATTACATCTCTTATTGAATGTAAATATTTACATTACATGTTACTTTGTAATACTGAGTCATAATTGTTGACAATGCTGAAAGCCAAATATCTTTAGTTTATTTATCAGCTAGAGCTATACCTTTATACTCGTCAAGGTTTATCGGGAACGGTGCATCCGCTTCAGAAACAAAACAAAGCGAAAACCTAATCTTGCAAGCGAACAAACTAATGAACATTGTACCTTGGATACTTCGTTATTACATGTTTCATCATACACACTTTAAAAGGTACTTTACATGAGCACAAAAGAAGTATCCTATGGTCTCTAGATATGAATGTACAATAGCCTAGAGAGTATTTCTTGCTAAACAAAGTTCTTTCTACACCATTTTCACGCCCGTTTGGCTGTTTGGAGTGATGCCCGTTTGGCTGTTTGGAGTGATGCCCGATTGACTACCAGTATTCGAAATGATTGTTAAGAGATTGAAGTAGACTGTAGTGTTTTTTCTAAGGAAAAATGTTTATATCTTATTGTAATTAGTTGGAACAAAAATGATATATAATCAAAATATTTGTATATTTTAGTCAACTTTATCGGATAAAGAGAAATAATTCTGTTTATTTTTACCAGTTTCCTGGCATACTAGATCTCATGTGCTCAATTAAGAATAAAAAGGAATACGTGAAAAAACAGTAGAAGAATGATTATTCTGCGTTTTAAGTGCCTTGATTTTTAATACAATAATTTTTTATGTGTAATTTATTAATACATGTATTATTTGTATGTACCCACTTAACGATTATAAGTCAATTATCAACAATTCTATATTCAAAGGTTTGCCTTAAGGTATGAGCATCAGCATTTCATAGCAAGAAATGTCGTAAACAGTTTATAAAATAACGGATACTAGTAGTAATATGCACTGGTTAAGGAATGAACGCAATGGAAGAAATCTAATTTTGAAAGCAGCTTACGTTATTGAGACCTGGAGAAACTATTGGTACTTGGTGCATCTATTAACCAACGTAATAATGGTAATAAAGATGTTTTGAAGAGGGAACAAGTATAAATAGCCTTAGTCGTGTTTTTTCCAGATTTTTTTTCAATTCTCTTGAACTTCATGTTTGAATTGTACTTCCAACTAGTGGTATGCTTCGAGATCTCCTGATGAGTCTTGTATTGAAACAATGCACGTCTGACATAGTTAATTGTTATGTTAAACTCACGTTTGAACTTTTAAGGACAGTTTATTGCAGTTGTATTTGAGTTCTTCGACTGCACTACCTATTGTCTAAATTTCACGTCACTACAAATCTTATATTTCAAATGTCAAGATGTTTTATAGCTGATTAAATGGTAACGGGTATTCTAATTGCTTCAGGTAGTATGGCGCATAAAATCGCTGTTTTTAGACTCTTTTGGATAGTTGTCTTATTAGCATTAAACACCACATACCTTATTTTATGTAAGCAAAATTTTCAGTATGCATTTAAAAATGATTTGTTGTAGATTGTCTTTGCGTTCAGAAAAATCAGCAAAGCATTTTTTTAAGCTTTAGAAAACATTGTGGAATTATTTTAAACTTTTAATTGCTTTCGGTAACATGAACAAACATTGACAATAATTGGATAGACAAGAAGTAATTAGGGAAATCACATGTCTCAATAATATTGCTTTTTGATATAATAATGTATATGATATCACAGACATCTACTACAAATCATAGTCCACTTTGAATTTGATATCAATAGCCAACCTGTTACATGTACCAATCAAAGAAAACTCATTGTTTGTTTGCAGTACAACCTTTCATTTTGTCAAATAATGTACCGTGCGGTTAAGATATCGTACACTGCAATCTTTTACAGTTACTGTTAATCATTTTAGCAACATTTAGTATATTTTCACAAGACATATCCATCGTTCTCCTTGTTACAGGACGGATAGTATCATGATAGAAAAATTCCGATGCCTGCCGAATCTGTTATAAAACAGTCACACCCTTACGCTCTACGTGTGTATGGAGAGGTTAATGTCCTATACCAAGTCAGGAAAATGGCAATTGTTATCATATAGTTTGTTTCTGTTAGTGCTGCATTGTCGTTTTTGTTTATTTGTGTATTTCTCTATCCTGCATGTTCTACCATTTATTTGTATTGTAGTCCTGTCATGTAATGTTGTCATTTTAGTGTTATATTTAACATTGCCATAAATAAAGGCACCAGTAGTATACCGCTGTTCGAAACTCATAAATCGATAGAGATAAAAATAAATCCGGGTTACAAACTAAAACTGAGGGAAACGCATCAAATATAAGAGGAGAACAACGGCACAACAAAAACACAACATTAAACATGTAACACATACAGAAACGAACTATAATATAACAATGGCCATTTTCCTGACTTGGTACAGGACATTTTAAGAAACAAATGGTGGGTTGAACCTGGTTTTGTGGCATGCCAAACCTTCCGCTTTAATGGCAACGTCAAACACAACACCAAAACGACAACATCACATGACAGGACCACAATACAAATAAATGGGAGAACATATAGGACAAAGAAACACACGAATATTACCTAACAAAAGGTATTAGGCTTAAAATTCAATACGCCAGACGTGCGTCTCGTCCCCATCCAGTGACGCTCAGATGAAAAAAGCTTGAAAGCCAAAACAAGTACAAAGCCGAAGAGCACCGAGGACCAAAACCTCCATATAACGGGAGGTTTGGCTAGCAACAAAACCAGGTTCAACCCACTATTTTTTTCTCAAAATGTCCTGTACCAAGTCAGGAAAATGGCCATTGTTATATTATAATTCGTTTCTGTGTGTGTTACATTTTAATGTTGTGTTTCTGTTGTGTCGTAGTTCTCCTCTTATATTTGAGGTGTTTCCCTCAGTTTTAGTTTGTAACCCGGATTTGTGTTTTTCTCAATCGATTTATGAATTTCAAACAGCGGTATACTACTGTTGCCTTTATTTAAATACTTCCTGTCAACGGCTAAGTTCCATTATCAAAAATTTTATGAATTAAAATCAGCTGAACACTATCGGCCTTTTGGTAGCATTATATATATTTCGAAATAGTCTGCGTACAATAATATTCATCGATCTCGTAATTTTGATCACTAAGATATAACTCTATCTTAATAATGTTGACCCTATCATTTTATACTGATTCTACGCGAATGACGTCATCCTTAGATAATTGTTTTTTTTTACGGAGAAGCTATTTTTAGTAAAACATGTAAAGTAACAGGATGAACAGTAATGTTTTAACATAAATACCAGTTGATAGGGTATAATTGTGTTCGTTATGTTTTAACATAAATACCAGTTGATAGGGTATAATTGTGTTCGTTATGTTTTAACATAAATACCAGTTGATAGGGTATAATTGTGTTCGTTATGTTTTAACATAAATACCAGTTGATAGGGTATAATTGTGTTCGTTATGCTTTAACATAAATACCAGTTGATAGGGTATAATTGTGTTCGTTATGTTTTAACATAAATACCAGTTGATAGGGTATAATTGTGTTCGTTATGTTTTAACATAAATACCAGTTGATAGGGTATAATTGTGTTCGTTATGTTTTAACACAAATACCAGTTGATAGGTTATAATTGTGTTCGTTATTTTTTAACATAAATACCAGTTGATAGGGTATAATTGTGTTCGTTATTTTTTAACATAAATACCAGTTGATAGGGTATAATTGTGTTCGTTATTTTTTAACATAAATACCAGTTGATAGGGTATAATTGTGTTCGTTATTTTTTAACATAAATACCAGTTGATAGGGTATAATTGTGTTCGTTATTTTTTAACATAAATACCAGTTGATAGGGTATAATTGTGTTCGTTATTTTTTAACACATAAAGTTGTTTATTTTAAAACTGGTACATGTATGCTACTCAATAAATATAGAATTCCATTAAACATATAAAATATCAATGAATACAAAACACATTGAATTCAATCACATGCAGTTTTCTATCGTACCGTGTACCAGCAATATAAAATATAATATAGGTATGTAACTCCTTCTACTTGTTGTATACTATGAACTAACAATATTTAATTATGACCTTTTGTTATAACATTAACAGTACCAATTGTTCTACAGCGATGCGCATTTCGACAATACATGTCTCTTTAATGATGCTTGAGGCCAAACTTTTTGAAAAAGTTTAAAAAAAAAATGAAAAGCTTTTATATCAAACATGACAAAAAGTATAGCCAAAGCCGGGCAAGAAATCAGAGCCTTGCATGAAGAAGATATATTCCTTAATTTGAAATAATTTCTAAAATTTTGTAATTAAAAATTTATTTAACACAATAACCTTATGTCCATGCCAGTACCAAAGTAGAGTACTACTCGGCTGGTGATACCTACGGGAATTATCAAATTAGAGATATCAAGTTGACAATAATTCGAACAGATGATGAAGTTTTTTTTAATAAACAACACAATAAAATCAGCCTATAAATTGCTTGTCAGTAATACTGATCTCTTAAACATAATATACCGGTACAAGAAAACAATGTCATAGGATAACTTATTAAAGAAGCAAGTTGTTATACAGTTTTCTCTAATTCTTAGTCGATTATCTATTTCCTGAACTGTTGATTATTTTTATTTAATCAACGTGTGGTTCGTTTGATCTCTGTTCTTCATTGGTACAAATTCGATTATGACGTCAAATTTTCTTGCTTTCCTCTGAATTTCTTATTGTTACGTCATGAAAAAAGGCGACCATGTCTGATGAAGTCAAATAGAAAGAACACATCTTTTTTTGCAAATTATTCGAAAACAAGGATTAAGATGGTCTGTATTTGATGATCGTCAAAAAATCATAAGAGAAACAGATTCCACCACCAAATCTCATGCAATACGATATTTTAAGCACTCTCGACAGTTGAATTTTAAATATTTAAAACTGTCTCGAGTGGATAAATATCGTAGGACACTTGATGCAGTGGTAGAATCTATATATATATCAACTAGCTAGAACCCAATATGACAATGTAGGGTAAAATATTTAAAGAAAGGCGATATCATTTTCAAATGACAAGCATATAATTATAGTAACTATGTTATTACATTTTGTACATATCCATTACAGGAGATATATCAATGACACAATACAGATTAAAAAGCTCTTAATCTTTGCTAGAATAGTTAGTATACAAAATTTATAAAGTCTGTATTTATAAAAAGGTAAATGTCTAAATGCTTATGGCATTTGGTACTGCCTGTGGAAGAAGCCAATCATATGGAAATTCCCTCTTTTGGTTCTTTTCATCTATTGTTTTACCAACTTCTTGTAATTTCTGTCGAAACCTACAATGAGATAATTGAATAAATAATCAACGAAATAAATATGCTCATAATGTGGATATTTAACATTATATCTGGAAAATATAAGTACAAAAGAAAATATTGCACCGTAAAATGTGTTCACCGTATTATGTTAACATGCTTATTCCATTGCCAGTACACTGTCTGTTTTAAGAATATAGTCATTTTTAAATTGTTCACTAAAGAAATATTTGTTTACCTTCTACAGAATAAGCCATTGTGTTATAGCCTTTACCCTTTGGTTATCATTCATGTTTGCGAGTTGATCCAGAATCAACACTAAATTAATCTGTTCATATTTCACGAGGAATGGTAATAAGAATGTGATTTGTTTATGCTCCAAAAACGTGTTTGTACAATTTGGCCTAAATAGAATGAAATACATTTACAAAGCCACGTTTGTATGCCAAAACTCTGATATGTATGCAGACGAATCCATTCATTTTTTTGTTATTTTGATTATAATTTTTCGTATTTTCTAGATATAGAGCAACCTAACTTAAAGGTTCATGTAACCATAAGGCAGTAAACCATGTAGTTGAGATCAGAACAATTTGAAATTTGTGTTTTTGTCAGGTTTATTACGAGGTGAAAATTTTTACATTATATGTAAAATTACGATTATATCCCCGGTTTATCGTTTCAGTGAAAATGGACATATAATAGTGAGGCATGGTTTCTATCGACACATATTCTTAAAAAAGAATAATCTTTCATTCTATATGACTTGTTTCATCATCGAAAAAATCCATTTTTCAGTTCAACAGCTAGTGCATGCTAAATGCCTTTATTCGAATTGATGTGTTTCAGAGCAAAGAAATACTTACTCTTCAACGATTTGTATTGCTGCAGGATCGACAATAAACTGTTTCTCAAATTTACCAAGACTATCTGTTGCTTTGTCACTCAGAACTTTCGTAATTGACATCGTCTCTAAAAGCATATCTCTTTTTGCAATAGTCTTAAGGATTTTTTCTATAGTGACTGGATTCTGAAAAAAAAAACATACACTTACATAGCCTTATATGGTATATTTGTTTTTGAAGGTGAATGTTAAAAATTCAATAATAGCTAAACTTACATGTTGAAATAATTCATAAATTACTTATAACTGACATAGTAGGGATTCTTATCAGCCAGTTTACCTTTAATGCGGCGTTCACACAGTGCCAATTATGGCTCCCGTTTGAGATCAAACAGCATTAAGACACGAAAAGTTAAAAAGTCGGATAACTATCCTCATTGATCTAGAATGTCCTAACATTGTCTTAACAAAGTCATATACGTTCGTAACAGATTCCTACTGATCGGGAATGGTCCGGAGAGGTCGGCCAAGCGCCTCCGACAGTTAGGCGCGTCCCGTAACATTCGGGAAAACTCAGCCGATTTTGACTAGTCGGATTACAAGCGTGACAGATTCTGATGTATCGGATTAAAATCGGCTGAATTTGGACGCTTCCTGAACAATATCTGATTGTTGTCGTGATTCAATAAATGTTTTTACGATTAAAGTTTGAATTTCCAGTCACGATTCACAGGATCTTGTTCAAACTTTCGACACATTTTAATCGGGAATGGTCCTGTCAAGGACGGCACTAAAAATCGTGAATGTGTGACCCCAGCTTAAATTAGCGGTAATGATGACAATACATGTAGATTGGGGTTTTTTTTTGCTCTTTGGTCGGGTTGTTGTCTCTTTGATACATTCCCCGTTTGCATTCTCAATTTTAGATACATTGGTACATAGTATCTGTGTTAAAGAAAATTTGATTATTTAAGATTATTATAGTTTTATTCACAGATATCAAAATATTTTTGTCTATTTTCCTACTTCAATATGTGTTTTGCTATCAATATTTAGCAGTCTGTGTGCTTAAGAATTAAAAGGAAATTAAGAGAATACAACAAAACATATAAACAATGTTAACCAAATATTAGCAATTATTTTCGGGGTAAAAAGTAAGTGTAGTTATTCGCGTGCCATTATAACAACAAACTACAAAAATTGCCATTCCATTACAATTAAAGTATTATCACACCCTCTTTATGACATCCGTGAAGTGTTAACGTGTACAAGCGTAACGTATTAACTGAGATATGAAACGTCATATGCTGGAGCAGAGGGTATGTTACTGCTAGGAAATTGGAGGTTGATGATTGAAGACTAGTCACGCCATGCTTGACGGCTTTCGACAAGGTATGTTAATAAGTTGATGTTTACATGTAGATCTCCAAGTCCTCAACCTTTCGGTACTTCAGATGTATAAGTGGAATCATAAAAAGGTACTGGTGTATTAATGTTCTGTGAACATCCCATTTAATTCACCGAAAGCGAATCGCCAATACAATAGTAGTTTAGTATAGACTCTTATCTTAGTAGTATCAGAGTACTGTATAAATGAAAATACTATACAATGCTGTATCATTTTCGTTCACTTAAAGGTAAATAACAGTGTTTAACTCTACTAGTATACATAATTCACATCACATCACGTATTCGAATACAGTAAAAACCCATTATATCAAAATGCATTTTCAATTAAAGCCTAACGAAAACACATTTCCCCTTCATATCCTAATTCTTTCAGGAAATTTTAGTATTTTATTAAATAAAACTGAGTTGAATGAAAACCTCTTCAGTCAGCCTAAAAATTTGCATACCTTGTCTGTAGGGGGGTTTCCAGACAGATGGAACGGATAATTGAATGGAGCACCATATTCATCATATTGTTGGAAGTTGGCTGCGGCATGACCAGCACTACACGTGTAGATAACGGCTGTCAATGTTAAAACAAGTTGGTCTGTCGTTTTAAAATTGCCATCACCTGGGACTCCCTGCAACACATGATAATATATATATAATTTTGTGATATAGCTGTAATATGTTTTCAATAAGATCTGGAAAACTTACTTTGAATTACCTAATCGTACTTGATTTAAGTAAGCCGCGTTTAAGGTGTCAGACCACCAATTCAAAATCCCCATCTATTCAACCAAATTTTGCAATTTTCACAGCTTTCTTAACATCTTACCTTCAGTTTTAACTTCATAGAAACCAGGTATATCCTGAATTGTACATGTATCACCTTTCTACTAATTTTCAACCTACCTTTAAAGTCTTATAAGAAAGAACTGACCTTCGGAACACAAGAACTATTAAAAATAACCCCTGGTTTTCTGGAAATCTTAAATTAGTATACTATGGAACGCATTAATCTCCAATTTTTAATGCAAACTCATAGACAAGTAAATTTTGGCTCAAAATGATCTAAATATATTTCTCTTTCACCAAAAGTGTCATTTCTGCAAATGTGATGGTTAGTTTAAGTAAACAATGACATCAAAAGCACTATTTTGTGTCAGAGTAGGGCTACTTTTACATACGTTCTAAATTGGAGGGAGTGAATTGGTGGTCTGACACCTTAAGCTAAATATTTTGGTCCGGAACTCGCTTCTTTTTTTTATATTTTATATGTTCATTTGTCAGTTCCCATTAAAACGTACAAAATAAAATAAATTACCTCAATTTTCTTTCTCTAACACATATCTATAAAACTTATCTTGGTGTTATTTTCCATGAATCAAAAACTGATAAAATATAAAGCCGCACCATGATTAAAAACTTTACTTTCTGTGTATTCTGACTATAAAGTAATAGTTCTTCTACTAGAAAGAAAATGAACGGCCTGATTATAAAAAATATTGAGATAATATGTATTTTACAATATGCAATAACTTTGGTATTTACCAACCAGAATTCCGACTCCGCCATTATCTCTTGACTTTACAAGTTCTGCTCCCCAACTCTGAATTTCGTAATCGGCGTCCAATGAACCCTCAGTGGCTGTTTCGACAAACAATATTATCACTTAGTAGAATTTACGTTTGTTTACAATTGTATTTGTACTGAATGAGTATTTAATGGTTTGGACATAATTATAAAAGATATCCCGCTAAGCTTATACGTCAGTTCAACTGACGCGGGTTTCGTCAACATAAACTCGTCAATGGTGCTTAAAATGATTCCTTTATGTAACATCGACATTTGAACGAATGCCATGAATAAAAGCATAAAACATATTACATTTTATGGCAACATTTTTAATACATGTACGATAGAAGGTATATAGACGAACCTTGCATTGTCTCAAAATGTTAATTTATTTGTATGTGCGTTCTGTTCAAAATGGATAGCATGCACGTTCTTGCCTAGCTTTTATACCAGGTTTCAAGCTGAGTACAGGTTAAACATGTAACCATTTTAAATTAAGGCGACAGTAGCTGGCCCATTTTCATATCAACTAAAGTTCCAACACAGTTATGACGATTAACGACTGAAATCGACACTGCATCACGAAATTGGATGGCGGAAGTCTCGGTTTAATAACTCACTCTTCACATGTTTTTGCAGTCTAGAATATTCGTCTGATCAGAGGTTATTCCATATGTTTTATTCCTGGTTGTGACATTTTGCTGAGTATGAACTCGCATGGCGGATGATGCAAGTATAGCAGACGATTACCCTGTCAAAGCAACCGGTCTTGCTGTTTTTTAAGTTCATGCGATTCACTTAGTTTCTGTTCGTTATTTATTTGTCTCTTCCTTATCGGTTTACGAGAAGGATTGCATAAAGTGTGCAGATAGATGCACGAGCATTAATATTTTACTGGTATATACAAACGCTTAACGATAGAGCCGATGTTATGTTACTACTATGAAATTTGAAGTCGACAATTTGAATTACTACAAAATGTATTCTAAAACGAGGACATATACAACTCGAATATCTATTTCAACAGACTATTAAAACGGCAAGAAAAAGAACTTCTGGTTACTTATAGATGCAATTGAGGACTACTCCAGGAAATTGATAATACGCGAACAAGTTCACCCTTAACTAGACACTTTATTTGAATGAATCAATGATTATCAGATATGCAATAGTTGCGCGTTTAAAAACAATCTACGATGAACAATGTGAACATGGGTTTCTAACCCTTTCGAGATTCCGATGAAATTGCTTCTTTATACTTTAAAAAAATGTGTTTTTATTCAACCAGACAAAGCCTCAGAAATTTTGTTTTATAGACAACAATCAGTTTTTGGAATTTCTTACTAAATAATTTAACAAAAAGACTGCCATATATACTCCGACATGACTCACGAAAGCGCAGGATTTTGAAAATCGCCAATCTGTCCCTCTGTCATTTTCATTTAACATAAAAAGGAGAAAGAAAAAATGTTAAAATCAAAAACGCTATTTAGCAGGGTCATCAAAATGTTAGACTAAACACTTTTCTTTCTGCAAAGTCTTCTATAAAAAAATAAGGCGTTCGAATATTGTGATGCGGCATATTCAAACAACAACGTCAATCAGATTTATATTCATAAAACTTCTAAAGATATATATCAAAACCTTCAATAACAATCTTCACAATTTTGAAGTAATTACCAAACTTAATTCTATTTTAAACTTTACACTTGCAGTCACGATGCCAAATCGAAAGATTTTATTTTGCTACATTGTTTAATTAATAACACAGAGCTTTTTTCAATGCAGATAGAAATATAGATACAAATACATTGTTTAAGGTCGTGAAATACATCAATTTTGTAAGAACTAGTAAGTCTGATTCAAACAATACACATAACATTATTTCATCAAAATGCTGGAATTTTTCGATAACTTTTTCTTGAGTTTGGTTGATCGATATTCTAACAAACAGTTAATTTGCTATGTGATTTGTTTGTGCATCCCTACTAACATACCTGGGTTTGTACTAGATAAAACTTGTTCACATCAGATGTCACAAAGAACTTTCTCAAAGACAAAAGTAAAAGACATTTGGCAGGGTTCTATATTTCACTTTCAGATATACTGATGATTTTGTGTCATCTTTCTGTGAATGCTTGCATTTCATTTATCCAGATATTTGTCATTCAATACTACCGAAATTAGAAGGTCTGCTTCGTGTCTTGATCTTTTGCTCGATATCTACACAGATGATTGACTTCAAACTAGAATATTTCATGACAATCATGATGAATTCAACTTTCCAATTGTCAGTTTTTTATTTCCGAGCAGTCACTTAATGTGTGCCTAATATCATGGTCAGAGCGTTAATAAATATCAGTTACGACTGATACGACGTATCTGTACAGTGTCTGAACGATATTAATCGAAGATTATAAATCTAAGGATACTAGAATAGTCGTCTGATCTGTAAATTTACTGATTATGTCCTATTCACGATTGTGACATTTTGACTGAGTGTGGATTTGTATGGCCGTTGATGCTTGCATAAAAGGAGACCCTTACACTGTCCGAGTACCTGCTTGGAGTACCTTTTGGATTATTCTAATATCGAAATTGTGACCTTCTTAGTATTTTATATTGAATTGTTTTTTTACAGACGCAGAAACTCATTTTTATAAAATTCAAAATATCTATCTTGTCCATAAACAAACTAAACTATTGGTGTATTTTTTTGCATGTTTTTATGTCCAAAATATGAAACATGTATAATTGGATATCATTGAAACTCTGACTAAATGAAGATTGTTATACAGAATTTCACAGCGTATACGCGAAACTTCAGTATTTGGAAATTTAGGACAACATTAAATTAAATAAAAAGTACCTACAATATTGTTAGAAAGATATGAATGAATTATATGTATCAAAGTAATCACTGAATCAAAGACAAAACACTGATTTATAATAGACCTTTTTGACCAATTGTTATTATCATAATATAAAATTACTTACACTTGTTCTTTTTATTCAATTCATTAGGTATCGATATGTATAGATTTAGATATTAGATGGGTGTTGTCATATTTAAAAAAAAAAGTTGACTGTGAGTAAAATAGTTGAATGCTTTGAAAGTTGATTTAATAAATGTGGTGACGACACACCTACGATAACGTTAACAATGACTGACCAGACCCAATGATATATCTGCTACAGGCAAGAGATGTGTGCATGTTGTCAATTGAACGGTCACTATATATGACAAGTTGGATCCACACCGAATCACTGTAATGATACAAATATTGCTGATATTAAAAAAAGAATTCTTTACAACACGAACGTATTTTGTATTTAATTGAAACCAGACCATTGGAATTCGAAAATGTGCAAAAACTCCTTTGTATCTGCCTGAATTTTATAATTTGTTTTACCAAGTTGAAATGCCTCTCGATGTTCTCCTCTCAGAACAATCGGAACCTTTTGTTTAATTCCTAGCCTATTACTTTGTATCTTTATTTTCTAAACAGTTAATTGTTAAAAGAGGTGGAAGGTACCAAGTGGACATTAAAAACTCGTACGTCCAGCGAAACTGACAACGTCAATGGCGAATGAAAAAAGACTAAAAAAAACAAACAAGGTAGCAAAACACTATATAACAAATGAAAAACTCAATAACACCAGCCCAATCAAAAACTCGGAATGATCGTAGGTTTTCGAGAAGGGTGAGCAGATCCTCTTCCACAAGTGGTACCCGTCGTGTTATTCATGGTAATATGTCAAAAGTTACAAACGCATATGGAATTATAATAAATAAAAAAAGGGATTATCAAAATTCATTAGACAAATAAAAGTCAAACATAACAGCGAACAGACAAATTTAGACATAAAACAACTAGTATATAGAAAACTAAAAAACAGAGCAAATCGAACATACCAACAAATCTGAAAATACTTAAATATCCGTTTTGGGGTTTTTCTCAAACTGATTTATAAAATAACTTACAATAGTAGAGCAAAACATATTTCTCAACATATGACTTAATGGCATCATACAACAAGAGGCCATCATCTCTCATATGGTAGGCTCCGGTCAGTACAGACTGATCAAATACCTGTAATAAAAATCATTCATCGAATCAGCACTCATAGGTCAATTACTCAGATGCTTGTCGCAGAATGACCATTGATGGTAATACGAATCCTTCATCAGTATAATCAATACAATCTGTTAAAGAACCTACGTAATATTGTTGGTAATGTTAAGTCATGCAACTATATTATGAATAACTTTTAAAAATGTAAGGTAAATATCAATGAGAGATCAAACCTACAAAAAATGAAAGCATAAGAGGAGACCAAACAGTTTTTAACAATATGTGTTTTTACAATATGTCAATCCTCAAATCGAGCCAATAAAATATGTGACCTAATGTACAGAAGAATAAAGATCATTTAAAGATAACAGATTTTCAAATAACGATGCATATCTTAAATATTCTTATAAAATACAAAACAAAATGGTATAAAATTCTTCTTACAAAACAACCTGTAATATGAAACGTACAATAAGGCTGATAAGAAATATTGACATAAAGAACAACCCCGTTGCATGTAAATGTAATCGTATGAGAGGTACAAGCGACTGTAAAATGGATACTTGTATGGGCTGTAATTTTCGCTATGTCAATGCTTTTAAACGTATAAGTTTCGATCATAAACGATTTATACATGTAGTTTCCATTTCCAATCAACATTCTTGTTCGCAAGGGAAAATGTTTGTTAATGTACGAATCCTGGTAAAATAATCTCACATAATTCAGTTCGAACAATTCCACTTTTACAGTGTTATTGACTAAAGTAAAAATGAGAAACATAGAATTACAGATTTTGACGGACTGACCAATGAATTTATTTGATGGAACTGTGTTAAGCGACGTTTCTTGTGTGAAAAATCTGGGCATGTACTTTGATAAAACCATCAACATGGAACATCAAGCCAGTGCGATCACTAAGGCTTGTTTTTACCAAATTCGGAATTTTGGTCGAATTCGATCTTTAATTTCAGTAGAATCCTGTAAAACACTAGTATGCTCCCTAGTTACATCAAGGCTGGACTATGGCAATGCATTGTTGTACGGTACTAACACCAACATTATCAGTAAGTTACAGCGGGTCCAAAATACAGCAGCACGTTTGATTACACGAAAAAAGAAATTTGACTCAATTACGCCTGTTCTAATATCGTTACACTGGCTACCCATACATTACCGTTGCCAATATAAACTTCTTTTATATGTGTACAAAGCCCAGAATGGCAAGGCTCCTAGCTACCTTCAAGATTTAATTACGCCTTACAAACCCAGTAGATCCCTCAGGTCGGAAAATTCTATGCTCTTACATCCTCCGAATGACGTCCGAACGAAAAGCTACGGTGAGAGGCGTTTTGACAAGGCTGCACCTACACTCTGGAACCGTTTGCCATCGTCCTTGCGGAGTGTAAATTCTTTGGATGTTTTTAAAAAGCAACTCAAGACTCACTTATTTCGGACTGCTTTTAAGGATTTCTTGTAGATTTTATATACTTATAATTGACTGCATTAGTTTTAGACTTTTTTTTTGTATATTTTAGGGTACATGCATTTTTCATTTTTAGTATTTTATTCATTTTTATATGCTTGTTTGATTCTTGTAAGTTGGTGCTTTGTAATTTATGTTTTATGTTTTTTTGTATTTTATTTATTTTCAAATGTGAAGCGCTTAGAGTAATTGTTGTTATTATATAATGCGCTGTATAAATATTGTATTTATTATTATTATTATTTACATGCAGTGCAATGGCAATCAATTTAAATATTTAAAGACGTGTTTAGAATTTCAAATACACAAAACAAAATTAAATTTTCTCTTCAATACTATGTAAGTCATGTTCAAAATCAGTTCATATCTGATGTACATATACAGTATTTCGTCTAAAAAAATATGAAAAGAAACGTTATACAAAAAAAGACAAAAGACACGGACCGAACAAGTATAAGCTCCTCTTATTCATAGATGTACTAATGACGTTCGGTTCAGAAACAAAATCACACCTGAAACAACAAATTCGGTTAAGAACTTGCATAAATAGATTGATTTATGTTAAATAAACGTTCAGTGGTAATAGTCAATATTTCTTAGGATGCACTAACATTTATATACTTTTTTGTAAAACTAAATTTAACTGTTTGAAAAGCAATATCTCAGAAATAATAAAAATACCCCTCGGCTCTTAAAATTTTCCGGAAGAGTTCCATGTAAATCCAGTCTCCACCATTCCATACTGAAAAGCGCAAATGAATCAAAGTTTTAGAAAATTTAATATCATTATTATTATTAGACATGCTGTATCAGAAGACAAATAATTAATTTGATGTTTTTGAGAAGTCCTGTAGAAGGAATGAGTTTGTTCACTTATAGGACCAAAGCTAGTTCAAAAATACCCAAATACCGGTTGCAATATGCAGCAAAAATTTAACTTTTAGTTTTCATATAGTTTTAAATCCAGTATTATACGAATAGAATAATTTGTTTTGCATAAAATCCAAGAACAATTGTGTTTTACACTCACCTCTTTGCCATGATATGAAAAACGCCTTTTATTCCTGCATTGGAAACCTTGTCTATGATACCATCTGGTTTTATCAACGATACAAGTGCAAGACTGAAAAATAAAGAGTTGATTGTATTTATTTCTCAGATAAATTTTCTTGTTGATAAGTTGAGTCGGTATATAACACTACAGGGAGATAACTCTGTAAAAATCAGCTGAACGTTTTAATCACGTTCTATTGTTAAGGAAATATTAAGCTTCTCAATGATCAATATTAGTGTTTGTCAAAGTGCTATATATCCAATGAATGTTTTCCTATAAAGTGTGTGGTTTAAGTTTTTTGAAATTTTTATATTTTTGTCAAAGGATCAAAGTTAATATTTTGTCAAATGTTATGAAAATAAAACGAGCCAAATTAATTTTATTCGAAGTGTTTGGTACCACCTTAATATTTTTTCTTCATGCAGATAATTAAATTTCAAACACCTCATTTTTCGCTCTCGTGATTACCGAATCGGGCAAATAGTTTAACGGTTGTTTTCTCTAGAACTACTGATTATTAAGCATGCTATGTTGCATAATAATGAATTAATATTTTTGGTAGTGTAAAGCTCATTTGGCTGATGTTTAGTACGAAAGACATGCGTTTAGTCTACACTACACATCAGCTATGCTTGCATAAAAATAGATGTAGGGCCACAAACATAGCGATTGAGTTGAAACAGAAAAGGTAATGACTGTTTTACCTGGATGCATATAGGCAATACAATGTAATGTCTTATTTTATAGATATAAGAAGATGTGGTATGAGTGCTAATGAAAAAACTCTCCATCCAAGTCACAATTAGTAAAAGTAAAATTTAAAATATCAAAAATACCGAACTCTGAGGAAAATTCTAAATGGAAAGTCCCTAAGTAAATGGAAAAATCAAAAGCTCAAACACATCAAACGAATAGATAACAACTGTCATATTCCTGACTTGGTTCAGGCATTTTCTTATGTAGAAAATGGTGGATTAAACCTGGTTTTATAGGTCAAAGTACGGCCTTCAACACGGAGCCTTGGCTCACACCGAACAGCAAGCTATAAAGGGCCCCACAAATAACTAGTGTAAAACCATTCAAACAGGAAAACTATCTATTTTCTTGATTCATATATAGTGTTTCTCTTCATTTGAAAATACGGTACACATTATAATGGATGTGGTGCGCGTGTCGAAAATTAATGTTTTCAGTGATAATGAAAAAAGTTTTGAAACTAAAATACCATGAATCAAAACAGAAGAGATTGGGAATATTATGTAATAGAACATTCCAAAGTGCAGCAGTAAAAAGTGAGAATAGATTTAAAAAAAAAATGAGCTGAAAGATATATTGTCAGCAGTAACCCTTGACAGTAAAAGTCTGGATTCCTGACAGATAATCAACAATGCGTGATGGATGATTGTTGCTTAAAATAGAGTCGAAGCAGCAACGCTAATAACATACGTTATAATATTCAGCGCATACCATTTGTTGTCTGAACATATTATTTGTAGTTCTTAAAAATATATAGAACTGCCAGCATTTATCATGTATCATCTCCAAAAGAGAGGCGAAAGATACCGAAGGGACATTCAGATTCATACTTTAACAATGATTATGTTTTACACACAGAAACGTATGTTGAAATTTTGACATATTTTTTTTACTATATTAATATTTATTCGACGACACAGTTTACGGCAATTCGAACACACCCGTCGTCATATGAGAAACAGATATTCCATAACGGTCAACCAACCAGAACCAGTAATGGCTTCCGGATGTTTATCAAAGGGATAACAACTGCAATAACATCTCATTAAACCATTGGTGTCATTGCTTTTCTGTCAGTACCAACCTTCTATCAAGGAAAGTATGATAGGGAATACAAGCTCTGAATATCGTATTAAATGGAAGATATATACTCCGTATGCAGGCTCTGCTGGACTGCTGCTACAAAAAATTGGAACTTTAAGAATTGGGAAGTTGACATAATTTCTTTTGCCGTAAAGTTTTGTTCACAACCGACCCTGTCTTGTTAATTTTTAGATGTAAGTCAAGATAAAAGGCATACTTAAATGTATTTGTTGTATCCTTCATGTCAAGTTTGATAGGATAAATGCGTTAGAAACAGTCACCAAACTTTGAACTTTTCGTGAGAGGACACCATCTGTATCGCGGAATTAAAGGAATATGATAGCTTTCTTTCATTTTTCATTAGAAGCTCCTCGGGATGGGTTTTAACATGTACTTTGAACGTCGACATCGGATTTTTTTATAGGTTCACTTTTGAACAATTAATTTTGTATGAATATTTAACAATTTCTTTATGTATATATTTCGATGAACAAGTGTACCTGTCAATAGCCATGAGATACAAAAAGTGTGCATTCAGCAATTTCATAATTGGATGTTGTAGCGCAAGGTTTCTTTTTGTTGAGACACTAATACCTTCCATCATCAAATGAGTAAAATCTGAAAAAAATAGAAACATAATTTGAATAATCATATGTAGTGTTTTAAGATAAAACAATATCTTGATAAGAAGTTCATAAAACAACTGAGGTTCCAACTTCCTCAGTCAAAAATGATGTAGACGTTTTAACGTATCCAAATAATATGACAATATTGCAAGAAAATACTTACCTTCATCCAGCTTATCGTCCCTATTAGGGATGTCCTGCAAAAATGACAAGGGCTGCCATACCACAAAAACGTTTACAACACAGCTTATATTCTATTATATTTGCATTCACAAATTTATTATTGTCATTTTGACTAAACAACGCCATATTTGTTATGTGCCTCTGTCGTCTTATCTACCCATTTAAAAGTAAGAGGTAGAAGACAGACAGAAAACCTTCCAAATTAAAAAAAACCACAAATGGACCTCTTCTGGCTCACTTCCGATGAACAAAAAACCCGCCCAATTATGTAATCCAACATTTGACATATAGTTATTCCTGACCTTGTATAGTACCCAGGACGACAGTTACCCATCCAGCTTCATAAAACTAAATATACACATACATGAATTGTGTTATATTATCCAATCAGTATATCTTACATATGGCCCAAAAGGTTTTCAAAATGACGAAAGTTTTTCAAATCAATTTCGTCACTTAGATTTGAAAAGTATAATTGTACCTGTCTTCATGCTTTTGACAAGTTTATGATCCTCATCTAATTCACGTTTACAACAAGTGTTATAAGTTGTGATTACAGGTAATCCGCTTATTGCCATCGGATGGGTCAATAATCCGTTAATTAATAAAACTCATAAATTATTGACATCATAATTATTTCTCCCAGTAAAAACGGTCACTCGGCATTTCAACTTCAATATTTCTCAAACGACCACAATTGGCAGTTCGTTTGTCATAGTTTCGTCATTTGAACAAAATGTTTTCCCCCGCGGACAGTTCGCATTTTAATTTCAACGTTTCTCAAACGATCACAATTTGCAGTTCGTTTGTCGTAGCTTCGTAATATGAACGAATTTATATATAACAGGTGCTTCCTTTACTATGTACTGCGCATGCGTGAAAGTATTCTTATAAATAAGACATTAAAACGTAAAATACGAAATCATTTAGTATGAAAATAAACGAAGGAGACAAATATATTTCTTACTAATCAACTTGATTTAGAAATATGATAATTTCCTGCCTTTTGTTAAAACATGAACCAATCCGTAGATGAATCCGGATTCATTCTGAATTTATTAACCTCCTGTCACTTCCTGTTTTCATTTCGTTTAAAAATTGAAAGTTAACGTGATCTATTCTTGATTAATATACATTATACAGTCATTAGAATCGTTCCGACAAGGATTTGTACAAATCCTTGGTTCCAAGATTATAGAAATGAATTCCAAATATCGATTTAACCGTTTTTACAAGGTAATGATTATGCAGTGAAATAGTCGTTACAGGTTCATTTATGCTGTGATTCCTGGTTTAAAAAAAAGGAACCCAACTTTTGAGTTTTGTTGATCAGGAATGTCCCCTGAAAATAACTGAAGTGAAATTGTAAACTAGAAATCCGGATCCTTATTAGATCATATTATAATCTTCATATTTACGCACCACATCTATCAAGTTATGCAATAACTACCTGAGCTTGCCTAAGTCCTTCAAAGATCTATAGCTAGTAATACATATCTTTGGTCCATTGATTTTACCCAAAAAAAGGTTGATTTTCATCTCACGCAAAAGTTACTAAAGCCCTCAAAGTCCTTGCTGAAACCCTGATTATTTAAAGTTGTAAGTAACATTTTGAAAAGTGCGAGGGTACGATTGATCAGGTTACAGAAAACCGCATGCTTTCAAGGGAGGTAATTGTTGAAACCCTAGTTATTCCTATGATATTACCTCGATTAAACAACAATTAATGATCATTGCAGCCTAAATATGGATATATTTTTTGTAACCCACTTCAGAATTGAAAGAAAAATGTTCTCACCAATACGTTAGTGTTCAAATTGGTTAGATATGATGTGTTGTGGTGGCCTATATACTTCTTTCTATATGTGTTTTGTCAGATGAGGTTATTCCGATGCGATCATGTCCATTCATCGGCTTTCAATTTTACAATAATGTATTAAAAGATGAGAATATCCACCTTAATATGGAAATTAAAAAAAAATGGGACACGTTAAGAAACGGAAAATCAAATAAAAATGTAACATACAAGCAAATGATGGATTGGATTGGGGTTCTGGAGTCCGTTTCACCAAAAAATAACTTACGACTAAGATTGATCGTATGTATACTGAATTGTTCTTAGTCGTAAGTATTTTTGTGAAACCAACTCCTGTGTATTATTTGTATACATGTCTCTCTCCATATTCTTGAGAAATAGGGAGGTATTTGCAGACTCAAATTGTTCACCACAAACTTTATTTTAACATATAGTATAGTAATAAGCGTTCATGATACAAGTGAACCCAGAAAAGAGCTTCGGATGCAATAAATTTATAAGTAAAAGTCTTATCTTGTTTTTTTTCAACTTAAATGGTATGTCAATATACTCAAAATTATAGCAGTTTTATTTGTTTTGTTGCGCAAAGAAGAAAAGGACATAAATGTAATAATCTGTAGAGCATCTATTCCAAATGCAATAATTTTTATGTTCAATTTGTAAAATGTCAAAATACAAAATAGCAATATCTCACTGCAAAGGTATTTTTGTTTGTGTTTATTGACCTTAGTTGATAATTCCTTAAAACATCATGATCTACCTAGTACATTATAAAGGTTTAAAATATATGTTCGTAAGAGTAATTTTATATACTTAGATGAGTGAGAGCTTGGTGATATGTAGAATCAGCCAGATTGTACCACAGCTTTGCTAACATCCAGGTGTACTCTGGATCTGACGGTAAGAAAACCTGTTGAATAAAGACATTTATACAAAAACAATTTCAATGTCTTAAATCAAACAACCCTGATATCATTATTCAAACCTTGTAGCTATATATTGCAAGTACAGGGGACCTCAGTGGCAGAGTGGTCTAAGTAGTAGAACTACTGTATCACTAGCATGTTAACGCTGAGATTGTGAGTTCGAATCACGCACGTGCGCTCGACTCCATTCTGAATTGACAAGGATTGTCAGTTTTCCAACCAAAGGTGTGTTAATTCTCTCTAGGTATTCCGTCTTTTTGCTTCAATACCAACTGACCACCACGAAATAGCACAATTGTGCTGAAAGTGGCGGTCAATCAATCAATATTGAAAGTAATGTTGAAATTTAAATAAATAAAAAAGTTCACTCACAAGTGGAAAGGAAAAAATATAGGAAGATGAAGAAAAAACAAAAAAAGTCACAAAACATAACATGGACAACAAAAGACAATATCAACAAGTTAGACTTACTAGCTATGTTGTAACGCAATCACTACAAACCAGTAAAAGTATGAAATGGCCTATATCTGTACTCGACTGTACTGATTTTTACTCGACCAGTCTGAATTGGTCTGAAATTTACTTGATAATACTCGAGTGTAGTCTGAACTATACTTAACAGTCTGAACTTGTACTCGACCTATACGTAACCATTTTATACGCGTCTGAACCATGCTCGACCTAGTCTGAACCAATCTCGACCTAGTATGAACCATACTCGACCTAGTCTGAACCATACTCGACCTAGTCTTAACCAACCTAGACCTATTTTTTGTATCTATCTATTGTATTTCATCAATTTAGGAACTGTTTTTAACAACAGCTATTTCCCCTTGCTAGAAATTCGAACAAGAATTTGAAATTAAAAATGTATTCAATATAGCATTGAAACCAAAATTTCACAATAAACATAATATAACTTCATCACCATATTCATCAACACTTATAAACATAATATATATCACCTTTAAAATAAAAATAAAACAAGCTGATCAAATAATCTCAAAACTGAATTGTGACTAATATTTTTAATGTTATTCAAAATTTTTTGAATGTTTCAGGTATATTTTATAGTTACTGGACATTTTTCACCATTAACTTAAGCCTCGTATAGATTTATGGTGTCAGTTGAGTTTAGTTAATAATGCAGTTAACATTTTCTTTATTAAAATATATATAAAATAGCATATAAAATAACTTAATAAATTTAAAAAATGACACCTTTGTTTTGTTAAACCAAGAATTTGATATAATCATGATAATAGAACTTTCATAGTAATCCTGTGATAAACCTTTAAAAAAGGAAATGTGTTCCAAAGTTACAGTAAAAATTTATTTCAATTAAATTTAAATAATTTTTGTCAGAATTAAAGACATGGCATACAAGAAGCACTTTAATAAGCAGGTTTAATTACCTCAGTACATGTGTGTTTTACAGGTAAAAAGAAAGCCCTATTTTTCTTAAACTCATGTATTACTTATCTAGTGAATTCAAAAGGCCTTGTAATTTAAGTTTCATAGGATGTTGGAATTTTGAATGAATGTTATTTAGAATTTAATACTCTCTGACCAGGTGTGATCTTTTCATGAGTTTGCTCCAAGCAGAAGGTATTATTTTATACTTCACCACTAATCAGAAGAACAATTTTATTAATTTCTTTAATTTTTATCCCTTTTTGATATATATTGTATATAATATATCCCAAATTATAATAATAGATATATTTCTAAAATAAGGTTTTTAGGAAAATTAATTTAAAAAAAGATACATGCCAAAGAAGAAGCACCTTAATAAGGTTAAATACCCTCAGTATAGGTGTGTTTTTTAGGTAAAAGAAAATCTTTTTTTAACAAAACTCTAAAACTTTAAAATTAATATAATTAAATTATTATATAAGGTAATTTGATTTAACTATCTCTATTCGATAAATCTGAGAATCATGTAAGAATGTAAAAATATGTTTTTATAATATATCTTTATTTTATTGTGGCTGTTGTCATGTCAGTTAAAAAGAAATTTATTTTAACAGTTAAAATTTAGAAAAAGTAGAGGTTATTTGGTCAAGTATGGTTCAGACTTGTCGGGTATTGTTCAGACCTTTGGTCGAGTATGGTTTAGACTGAAAAAAATAGGTCGAGTACAGGTCGAGAATGGGTTAAGACTGTTTCAGACTGGTCGAGTAATAGTTCAGACTATTTTCAATGGCAAAGATAAGGGTCAAGTACAAATCAGTACAGTCGAGTATGGTTAAGACTGGGGTCGAGTAATGTCCAGTAAAATTCAGACCAATTCAGACTGGTCGAGTAAAAATCAGTACAGTCGAGTACAGATATAGGCCATTTCAGACTTTTACTGGTTTGTAGTGAATGTTGCATGGTTTGTTTAATGATAAGTAATGGGATATTGAAACCGACGTGTCTGCAAATTTCAATGCTTGGCAATGTTCTTAGATCACACAAATCATTTTGAACTTAGAGGTCATTGTTAAACGTTTTTTTATGTCATCAGTGTTGGTATTTTTTTCTTTTCAAAGCACAATATGGATTTCAATTCGTTTTATATCCAACCAAATATTTACATCCATGTATCATGAAGAATTGTTTTATTTAAAAAAAATACATATGTACAATTAAGTGTAATATGCTGAAAACAGTCCCAAGACCCTTTTATGTAGAAAAGTACGTAATAAGGCTTTTATAAATTTGTTACTCACGGCCTTTGTCATTTGAAGATGACATAAGGTGAACAGTACATGAAAAGATCATATAGATTTTGAAAAGTAGGTCGGCCATTATGGTCCACATAGCTTAGTATAATCAGGAAATACTCCAATTAATTGATTTAGAAACATCAATTTTTTTTCTATGTCATGGTCATTTCCGTTTATATCATATGTCACAGATATTCTGATGAAATTGTAAACAGTTGTACAAAGAATCACTTACAGGGTTACTCGGTCCTTTCTTTTGGAACAGCTGTATGGCTATTGGCATAAGACGTTTAGCATCGTTAAAATAAAACAGAGCCAAGGGACAAGTCATCTGCAAAAACAAAAAGGGAAATGTTCAGTAATAGTGTTCTACTTCTTGGGCTTCGGTCCCTGACTATTTATTGTTCTGTTAATCTTCGCTGGACCTTTATTTGTTAACACTTGTATATTTCTTCAAGGAACAGTTTAATGAGATTCATTATTGATGGAACCTCACACACATTTGTCTTAAATAGTATCTTATCTTCTATCTATTTCTCAAACTTGCAATTGATGACAGATCCCTGATAGTTTCTATTTAATATAATTTCTTCTTGTTCAACTACAGCAATTTTATAGAATGCCATAGTGTATAGACACTTGCATCTTGGACTTTAAATTTGATTTGTGTCGATTCATTGCTTCTCAAAACATATGCTCTAATCTCCTTTATTCACACCTTACCTTGCAGTTTTGTTTTATTTCTGTCTAGAAAGTCGAACGCAACGTTCAATTGTAATGCAAAAAATTAAAACAACTCGCGTTATAAATTTCATGCATCCGAAGATCTTTTCTTGTTGTACCATCATCAGCAAAGATGTTTTTCATCGCTAACTGTGTCTCCACTTTGCTACGTTTTTGTGCATATAACATATCTAACCCATTTCAAGTTTATTTTAATAGTTGTTCTAAAATGTTGCTATTAGTTTGTTAACTACATGAATTTTCTTACAAAATATGTTTTATCATCATCTTTCTGTTAATTTGATATTTTTGAGACAATTATGGTTTGAGTGATATTTGAATTCGCTAATGTAATCTATATAAAATTGGATATAATATAGATTAATTTCATTGACATAAAGATATTCTTTTAACTAATATAGTATATTATAACTGATATATGCAAATCAGAGATACGTCTCCTGCTCTGCAAAAATCACCGACGATACGAACCTACATACAATTAAAATGTTTCAATTGGTAAATCAACATATCGCACTCCTTTATGTAAAACTGATAAGCATTATATGATCACTTACTTTAAGATTTTCAGTCCTAGTTGGACAATCTTCCAATATTGCCAAGTTTGTCATGAAGAGCTTTTTTCCTTCAATGGCTTGTTTTATTGTTTTGCCTTCTAGAAACGGTTTGATCATATCTTCTGTGACTGCAAAACTATGAAATAGAAATATAAAAATATTTTTAGAAATAGATTTGAATTTAAGATTTTCATTTTGGTAAATTATATCATCAGGTAAACAGTTTGATGTACATTTGGGTCTCAATTTTGAATAAAATGCAATAGGTGGAGAAAAACAAAATTAATTAAAATAAAATGCAATAGGTGGAGAAAAACAAAATTAATTAAAATAAAATAAAATTCGAAAAATAAATAATAGTATTTAGAAGACTGATAATGCTGACTTCATCCTATATCAAATATTTGTCAAACCAAGCTTACTTTTAGGGTATCGCAGTGCACATTTCTATTAGTAATGAATTCAGGCAGCTAAGTCTCTGTCTTCCGAACTTCATATCATCGTTGAAATACTTTGAACCCTGAAACAGACAGGAAACAGTAACAAGTTTTGTTTATGTTACTTTGAATGATAAACGTAAATCTTGTAAAGCGCTTCGTACTCACATAATTCATTAATTGTTATTTTCGTTTATAAGCTCTAGTGGTGGACTTCTAGACCACGAGGATATCTGCAAATCAGTAGTCCAAGTTTCGGTTCTGTCATGATGTATATCATACCATTATTCAAAGTCTCCGTGAATAGAAATTTAGACATTATTAAGAAACTAATTTTTAAATTCCTTCAAGCAATATGACTTTGATAAATTTGGTTATTCTTTTTTTGTTTATGTTTGGTTTTTAAGCTCCTCAAATTATTGATAAAATTCAGAACTTTTCGGAAAATTTGCATGCTTTTAATTGATATTTGCTGTCTATGTTCAGATTGTTCAGTAGTTGTTATTTACCTGTACCTAACATAACCATACTGAATTGTCTAACAGCTACTGAATAGTAATAGGTTGACCGCAATCCAAATATATATATCAACAGCACTGAACTTACAACAAGACAATGAATATAAAATATTAAAAAAATACTACAACTCTTAACAAGACTTAAGGTTAAATTAAGGATCAAGACTTTTCAGATGATGTTAAGATCAAAATAACCGTTTAAAAATATAAGTAACCCGTTTTGATATACAGCTGTGATTAAATATCAAGGAAGCCAATACATTAGTGTTTTTAAGGAAAAAAAATATTGCTTTATTGAAATTTGCTGCTATAAAAGTTAGGACATCCTTTTACCTCTGTCATATAAGTGAGAGAAATAGTTATCTATAAAACTAGGCTGAACCAACCATTTTCGCGAAATTGCCTGTACCAAGTCAGGAATATGACAATTGTTTTCCATTCATCCGTTGGTTATTTAGTCTAACGTTAGATTGTGTCAGATGTTATAGAATAAATTCTCTTTTTTTTAATTACCTCGGTATTTTTGTTAGTACTTTTTTGTCCGGGTTTGATAATACGTATGTCCTTTTTGGTTTTTCAAGCTAAATGTTTGTATAATATTTTAAGTTTTCACATATTATGGCTTAAAGCATTACTAATTGGAAATTAATTGTCGACATGTGTTCTGACATTTCTTTTATAATTAAAACAGTGGTCGATGCCTCTCTCATTTGACTATAAGTTTCCGAGAGTATCATAAGCTAGCTAGTTCTGTAAATCTGGTACCGGTATGAGAAATGGATATTGTTTTTATGAAATTTACTGTTATCACATTTTACAAATCTTTTGAAATCAGGAAATTTACCTCTCTGATTCCATTTCTGATTTTGCGATATATTTGATCCATTTTTGTTTTATCAGCTTTGAAACGTTTGAAAAAGATTTGGATTGTGAAGTAGTAGGTCATCTAGCATCACTGAATAGAAACGTTAAAACCGAATTAACATCTGGTGAAGTAAAATTGGTATGATTAATCACTTTTAAACTAAATTTTCAACTAAACAGTCAAATTGATCTAAAAAGCTCTTAAAAAACTAAACAATATATTACAGTCATGTTCAGTCGTTCAGTGGTTTTATCAGACTGTGGTTTTTAAGTATTGTTAAGACATTTAAGATTTAATTAATCTTGTTTCTCAATTTGTGTTGCAGTTTTCAAACCAATTGATGTAGAAGCTGGTACATTTTGACACTGTTTTATTATACTTATTCTTTCTTTTCAAAACAAGTGGAACATAACAAGTGGAATTCAAAACTGTAATTATCAAGGCAAAATACACGAAAAAAAAGCAACAACAAAACGACAGACATGTTCTCAAAATACTCTTGACATATGTATACTTACGAGTGTGAAACACGAACCAAACAGAAAAAGAGGATTTTTACATTGTAAGTTAAATCAAGATACCAGTATTTCATGTCAAAGATTTTCTATAGTATGAAGATATGCGATCAGCGGATGTATACATATTTTTTTAACTCACTTTCGTAGGAAGATGTAAGTAACTATTTTATCTATAACATGTATAAGTCGTTACCTGTGGAATTCCAAACACTTTAGTATACACTGTTTTGACGTCGTCAACTTTCTTCCATTCTTTTTCTTTTCCCTTTTTCGTCAGTTTAATGCTTTCTATTCCATATTCTGCGAGTTTCGAAAGCAAAACGTCAGCCTGTAAACAGCGAAAATTCTTCTTAATTATTTTTGGACATCTAAGCATTTCCTATTTAGTCTTTCAATTCATTTATGCTATATAGATTTCAACAAATGTTTGACTTCCTGTAAATAATAATGTTCAGTAAATCTGTTGAACGTGGGAGACAGTTGAATGTTACTGAAATGAGTGTGAAGTCTCTTATGCTTTGCATCCTTTTATGATTTGCTTTTCTGGTCACAACCGATCTGAAAGATTCCTTTTTTTTTCCTTTTGAATTTAACATTTTCATCTTATATTGTGTAGTATCACAACGTTAACTGTCTCATGTTAGAGGATGATTTGATGCTCACTATATGCTACACCACGCCAAATGCTAGTGGTGCCTGTACCAAATCAAAGTACAAATAAAATGTTACCGATGATCAAATTACGTTAACCGATAAAGAATATACAGTGGTTAATTAACCAAACAAGATCTACTTTGTATACGTGTTTATATTTGTTGAAAAGTTTGAGTTTGCTTTATATGGAGGTTTGAAGATTTCTACAAGAATAATTTGTGTAAATTAAAAATCAAAACGATCGATTTGGTTTAACCTGAAATTGAAGGTTCCTGATATTTATGACGTCTTATTGACATATCAAGTGACCTGTCTGCACTAAAGTGTCTAGATTATATTAATCTGTTCATTTTTATCAATCAAATCAGCATTATTTTGTAATATTTGAATAAGTTAACTATTTTTACAATTGCAGCGTACATTAGAGCAATGTGTTATACTCTATGATAGGTTTTGCATCAAAGTACAAGGATTATACTTGTCAAAAATCCAATGAAACATTTCATTTATGTCCGTTTTCAGACGTGTGTTTCTAAGATGAAAGTCGCAAATTGCATGAAAACCATTTATGAGTACACATGAAGACTCTTCCTAGAACACATACAAAAAGTAATCTTTATAATTAAAGTCAAGAAGGAGAATAACAACACGTTTATTTGTTAATTACTTATTTTTTGTGAGTCTGGAATACGCATCCTCATAATTGCATTTTTTTTTTAAATTCTATACAAGTTCTATCCGATATTTGCATCAATTATCGGATTTTCTGTATCAGACAAAAGTATCTTGAAATATGCCAAAGAAGTAATTAGTGTACACCTTTTACGTTCGGTTGTGTTTAAAACTTGCTTTTAACTACATGTATACATGGATTATAACTTATAAAAACTAATAAAATATGAGATTATCATCTCGCTTCAGATTTAATTGTTCAAATTAAATTTCTATTTAGTGGTTGTAAAATTTTATTCATTAAGAATTAAATATATGGGTAGCTATAAAGGGAAATGAACAAGTAATGATCGGTGCAATTGATTACAAGTAACTAGATTAATTATTCTCCTAAACGGTTGTTGTAAAAAAAATCCTTTCCTGATTTAATAACATAACATGTAAAGATAGCATAATTTGATTTTTAAATAAAATATTTCCAACAATAATATGTGTATTTAACGAGCAAACAAATTACGCAGTGTATGTCCCTTCGTCATGCTTAAATGCAATTGGCAGGGAAACGGTATGATACGTCGGTTATGTCGGGTAATATTATTTTATTGGAAATCTCCAGTAGAACAGACGAATGTTTCCCCTAACTTACTTACACTATCAGTTTGAATTCGTTGAGTTGGTTGATGTTTATTTAATCTTTTTCATCTGTTAAATAACCCGAAAGTACACAAATATCATCATTCAAATATACAATCCATTTAACAAAAAACTAAATGTCAAAAGTAGTGTACACTGATATTGTCTCTCTATATAAAACCGTGAAAATTAAAATGTATACAAAAAATGTATAAATCAAATTAAACTCCGCCACATACATAGTCAGGATTAAATGCGCCAATTGGTCTTGTAAAATTTTAAAAATGATTTAATATCTTTTCAGAACTTAACAATCAGTTAGAATTCAACAGATTAAATTCAAAATTTCATTTAGATGTCTGGGAAAAATATCCCCTTAACAAGTTAAAATAACTGAATATCAGCAATACATAGAAAAATCATTGCTATGATTGCCAATGAGACAATTATCCACCAGAACCGAAATTTCGTCATTTCAAGCAAATTTTAGTTTTTTTTTTATCTAAATTTAACGTTTGCAAATGCTAAACTTACAAAATAATGCCATGAAAATGTCTCGTCTTCCGGTAACATTTTAACCTAAAAATATAAACATTTAGTATCAAAGTTATAGGCCATATGCTATGTCAGATATAAATTAATAATACAAGTTTCTTTAAATGCAAGTTTTAATCAAATAACAATTATTTCTCGTTTCAACTTATTAATGCCAACGTTTCAGCTACGAAAAGGTATATTTTCTCTGTTTCAGTCAGGACAATTTGCAGTTCTAAAGACTGACGCCAACATCATAAATGCATTGTAAATCAAAAACTAACGTCATGGAATTGAAATTTTTTGAAAATTAAATCATTTCTGTTGGCGCGTTATTGCGTTATTTAACTTACTTTACATAATTGGTTTTGCACACAGTTGAAGGGCAATCAGTAATCGTAAGTTCCTTACATGTGAGTCATGTGGTCTTTGACTGATAGCTGTCTGGTTGACTTTTTTTCATGTTTTGGATGCATAAAAGACCCTTTGAAAAGTGGTTCCAACTGATACTGATTTTATATATTTTAAAAATGTAAATAGGGTGCAATGTCAACATGGTAAAACATTTTTTTGTAATCGGAAATTCTATGTACGTATGACTTTAGTATGTATGTAGTTTTGCTTACTGCCCCTATTAAATATACCATTATCACAATAAAATAGCATGATGAAAATAGTGATGAAGATAAGGATATTTATGTTAGAAGACATACTATTCCAAAATGAGTATATCGATTAAGTAACATGTGCATAAACAGTTTCCGTGATAAATTGAAAAAATTCACCTTCAGCATTAGAAGCAAATGATAACAGGAAAATAAAATCTTCTTACAACAAATGAAACATGCTGGTTGCCAACTGTAAGCTAAATTAGTATAGCTTCTCTCTACAAGTATCTTATCCTATCTTAAGGAGAGATAAATCGTTAAAAAAATCACTCTGATTCAAAAAACAATTCTCTGAAACTGACGTTATCAAGATGCTTGATTTCTTAATTGAAAACATATTTGTTACGTTTGGAGGACATGTTTTCAAAACAAATAATTGACATTCTCGTGAGAACCAACTGTGCTTCTCTTCCTGCCGATTTGTTCCTTTATTTATATGAGGCTGACTGCATACAGGAACTTATAAGAAGAAAAACAACAGTTCGCAGTTTTTTTTAACTTCACTTTCCGCTATATAGATGATGCTCTCACTAATCATATATAAATATTTCAAAATGTTGTTATTATTTTGAAAGCATCTATCCCATCGAACTTGCAAAAAAAGATACAACAGATACAGTCAAGTCTGCCTTATATCTGGACTTACATCTTAAGATTATCTGAAAATTGACAATGAGGGTCGGCTGGAAACAAAACTTTACGACACAATAGCTTCCTAATTGTGAACTTTCCATTTCTATGTGGCAACATTCCAGCAGCGCCTGCATACGAAGTATATATCTCACAGTTGATACGATATTACATGGCTTGTTTTTCTTAACATGATTTCCTTAATACAGGGCTGCTGCTCACAAGAAATTCATTAAACCAAAAGTTCCAAGTGGGGAAGTTGAAATCATTTCTTCGTAAATTTTGCTGACACCATCACGAGTTGGTTGACCGTTATGGATTATATATGTTAGATATGAGAAAGATATGTTATAATTGTCGTTACTACAATCCCGTCCCCTTTTCTCGAATGTGATCTGAGACCAAGTTTTTGGTGAGGTTCTTGTTGCTCAGTCTTTCGTTTTCTATGTTGCATTTTGTGTGCTGTTGTTTGTCTTTTTCTCTTTTAGCCATGGCGTTGTCAGTTTATTTTCGACTTGTGAGTTTGAATGTCCCTTTGGTATTTTTTCGCCTCTCTTCTTCTTTAAAACTCCCAAAAAATATTAAACTGACTTCGTGAAAATATTGTTCGTCTGTCTGTGTATCTCAAACAATGCTACCGTTTAATATAAGTAATTTCTTTGAATCATAGACAAGTTTAAAGAACATTAACAAGATTTGAATAAAAAAAATGTTATTACATGTATGGCTGCAATGGAAAATAAGAAAACCATTTGTAAATGACTAGATTTAGGTGGAAAAAATAGAAGCTTCATTTACAAAACACATTAAAACACAATATAGGTTTCAATATCCATATAATTTTAGGAACTACTACTTTACTTTTTTAAAAAGAATATACACAAAGAACCAGAGACCATAGAACATTTGTCACGTTTATTAAGGAGTTGTCATATGGTCTCCAGTCTCTGGCATGCACTTATTTGATAATCGACTGTATTGCTATCTTAATAATATTTTTTGTTTTTAAAAATCAAGCGATAGTAGTACACCGATGTTCAAATATCGTAAATCGATGTCTGTAGTCAGTTGAGACACTGACGCATTATATCGGTCAACTTATTCATATCTGATTGATATCGCTGGTTGCATATGTATCATCCCAATATTTCTGTTGCATATTCTATTGAAGAAATAATTATGGTAAGGACATGAGAAAGATATTTAAGCGAACATCTTGACAACCAGGCTCTTCATTATGAGTTTTTTGAAGTTTCAATATCGAGTACACAAAGATAGGTTCTTTCATTAATGATGTAGATGTAAATGTGGGTTTTGCTGTGACTCGAAGTTCTCTAGTTCGACGATCCAAATAAGGCTTTTTGCATACACATACACATTTTTAATTCAGAGTTTGAAAAACCATACCGATTGTTGACACTTTATTTGTATAGTAACTCAGTCGGTCTTGTTTTTGAAGATTATTTCATCTTTTCACAAGGTTTTCATCCTAACATCAGTCCTATACGAATTATCATAGCGAATAAAAAGACATTGAGGTAAGGTTTGCATGATACCTGGATTTTTTTTTTAGTGATATCATACCAATATGATATATCATTTTGTTCAGGGAGGAGAACCCGATCATTTAATGAAAAAAAATCGAATATCGACCGTCCCGTTTCTCTAGTTCGACGATCCAAATAAGGCTTTTTGCATACACATACAATGTTGTTTGAGACTTTGTCTGATAGAACAGCAACACATCTGTCGTGAAGAGAGGATAAAGCAAAAACAATTTCGGGCTCCTGAGCTCATTTTGCATCGTAGGTTTTGAATGTAAAATTAAGTTAATCTAAAAGAAAACTGTTCTTTGGTCGGGTTGTTGTCTCTTTGATATATTCCCCATTTCCATTCTCAATTTTATTTAAATGGATCATGTATAAACATAAGAAAAAATAAAGGAGATGATCACTTGGTCCAATTTTACATCTTATGTTGTTTATGTATTTAAACTCGATTGCTATGTCCGTGTCTGTAGTTGCGTTCAGAATTTCAAATACTGCTTTCTATGTATGCGTTTTGCTCATTGATGATGACCGTCTGTTACCAATAAATGCTTACATCTAAGTCATTTTGTTTCTGGTGGATAATTGTCTAACCGGTGTATGTCTGTCCAAATTCAGTAACCATCCATTCAGTGATTGTCGTTGGTCGCAGGAAGCTAACTATAGGTATTTTTTCTCATTGAAGGCCGTGTGTTGATGTACAGCAGGAGACGCCTGTCTTGTCAACACACACAGTTTAGCTTCTGTTCGATTTCATGCAATTTTTATCATTTTTTGTTCTTTTTCAAATCAATTAACGAAATTATAACATACGTAAACTACTGTCTTCTTTACATAAAAATAACCTTACCTGAGCAGGTAGTCCGGGTATCTTAACCTCTAACTGATATTCCTTATGTAAGACCTGCATCTCTAACCTTCTTGATTCTTTCATTGGGTCGTTTTGGGGTAAACTTGTTTCATTTACGAAAAAGTAATGATGGTTTTCTTTGATCCATTTCAATGCTGGAAATATAGTTGTGAAACTGTTTCCCTTATTGGTGACTTCAATCAAATCTAGATACCAGTTAGCACTCGACCCATTGTTGTCTCTCCACAGCTCCATTTCTGGACTTCGGAAATGTGAACTTCAGATTTGATAGAAAAGCTTTCCAACTTACCTCTTTTAAAATCACTTTTTAAAAAGTTAGAAAGCTTGCATTCTTTTGTTTGTGTTTCATCTTTTCCATAAAGTATTATATGGACATGCGCATGCGTCCCAGCTCCCTTTTTGTCTCCAGTCTGAACCGTTATCTTATACTTTGCAATTGTACCTGAAATTTTTAAAAGCATATAATCCATTCGCATGAGTAAAAAATATATTTTGCTTCTTTTTAATTCAGAGTTTGAAAAACCATACCGATTGTTGACACTTTATTTGTATAGTAACTCAGTCGGTCTTGTTTTTGAAGATTATTTCATCTTTTCACAAGGTTTTCATCCTAACATCAGTCATATACGAATTACAATAGTGAATAAAAAGACATTGAGGTAAGGTTTGCATGATACCTGGATTTTTTTTCTCAGTGATATCATACCAATATGATATATCATTTTGTTCAGGGAGGAGAACCCGATCATTTAATGAAAAAAAATCGAATATCGCCCGTCCCGTTTTTTTTTTTTTTTTTTTATGTGTGAAAATATCAAAATTGCGATTTTTGACGTTTTTATGTGAAATTGTTTTTTGAACTCTTCTTAATAAATAATGTATGCAAGTGACAATAGAAAAATAAAACTTATTAAAACAGTATGATGAATTGTGGTCCATTCATTAATAATAAATTTTAATTCAAAAGTTCATAAAAAAGTACTAAAAACAAGATTTGTTTGGGGGGGGGGGGGATAAAATAAAACCATTGCCAAGGCAACAAAAAGCCAAAACATATGTCCCCGAACTCGATTTCACGGGAATGCGCTTTATATATTAATCATGTCATCTCAGTGAAACGCAAAAATACGTTTTTTGTGGATCTGCAAAGAAGATTTCACATTGACAGTCATCTTTGATCGCATCTTTTTTCAAAGAATCATTTTGTCTTGTAACACTTTAGGATTGATCATAACCAATGAGAGAAATAGTGATTAACTTACCTTTTATGCCCACATCTATCAGTCGGAAGGGAAGGTGTTTTATTATGGTCATACTTGTGTATTACATGTACAAGTCTCTGATTTTGAAAGAAAGTTTTAACACTTATTTTCCTTCAGTGCTTCAAACTGTAAATAGTTATCAAAGGTACATATTTTGAATCTTAGGATAACATTCTGATTACAATTCAAAGTAATGAAAATTTCCCCATGTTTGGTAAATTGTTTGTATGCAGCAATTGGATGAAAAAACATCAGTTTTGACTATTAAAGTCATGTACAGCAGCCGTGTTTATTCCATTCATTTCAATCTGGACACTTACAAATATTATACAAATATTTATGACTAAGCAGGAAAAAGCCCTGTAGGAGAAAGACAGATTACTGGTATGATTTGTCCATTTGTTACACCATGTTCAGATTTGGACTCTTTGACCAAACAAACGAACTGCATGCTCTTATACATGGGGATAGACGAAACAGAAGATGGCCAGGATACACAAATGACCAGCTGTATATGTATTGTTCATATAATAAGTGATGTGGTTATGTAGACCTGTAATATGAAAATCTTTCACATACGTTAATAATATAAAATCAGTTCAATGAAGTTCACCTAAGGAATAACGGTACTGTAGTTAAAGAGTTGCCACCGTCAACTGGCGATTTGATGGTCGCAAATGCAGTTTTACTGGCGCACGTAGCGGAAGCAGTAAAACAGACATTTGCGACCGTCAAATCAAAATTGACGGTGGTAACTCTTCAACTACAGTACTGTTATTCCGATTTTAATGCATTACAAAAAGAAATAATACGTTAGAGCTTGAACAAATGTATAGATTTGAAAGAAAATAAAATTCCGCGAAACTTCATTGATGATTTTGGTGCAAAGGCGTCATGGCTAAACGTGACGTCATACAAACTGAAGGTTATTATGTTACTTCTACGATTCAAATTTGAATGAAATCACATCAAAACGGCGATTTTGAGATAGGTGTTGTTTTATTTTCGATAATACTTTAGTGATCGAACATTTGTTGATCCAAGCAATTCAAAATAGCGGGTCCCTCGTTAGTTTAATTAGTTGAATTCGAGTTAACTCCCTGTGTACGCAAACCTTACCTTCAGTACATTTTTCAACACTTTTTCCGATTTGTTATACCCTTTTCATTCATAAATCAGATCTATATATATTATTATTATTCTTATTACATGTATCATGGGGTAATATTTATGCGGGTCACTTATAAAATGTAGAGCATATATAACATGATAAATGAGTTCACGATGTTTGTGAAAATAAATCTGTAAAATGATTACAAGATATATATCTATCAGATATATCAAAAATATACTTCATATTAATAATTGCAGAAATGAAGTCAAAGTTGGTGTTTTTCTGTTGAAGAATTCCACATATGCATATGTAAAAGCTAATCAAATGTACCAGGCTTATAATTTGGTACACAAGACGCGCGATTTGTCGACATAAGACTCATCTTTAGCGGTCTCGCTTCTTTTAGAGTGAGCGTGAGTCCCTCGGTATTTTCACCTCAATTTGTATTTTGTCAATTATTTTTTGTCAACTACTTTTTGTGATCACATTTAGTTCCGTTTTCATTATTTTTGATTATTTTTCGATAGGACTATTTAATGCAATGATACTTGAAAGTGTTATGTAGCTAAAGATTTTGAATGACAGCTTATATGATTAAACATATTTTTCTAGAAGTTATCGATTTTTAAACTTGGCAGATTAACTAAGGAACTGACTTAATGACTTTTATGTAAAGCTTGTGTATCATCGGCCTGGATCTAGATCACACACCAATAACCCCTATGAAAAAATGAAACACCAGCTGAGAAGTCAGTACTTATGTATTGATATGAAATATCATTGATACTGCTTTTTTTTGTTAAAAAAATATTCAAAATCGAACATTAAAATTTTACGCATAAATAGGTAAGCCGAATTTGGCTTAGTTTTTCTGAATTTATGGTTTAAATACTCTTCAATTCGTATTTGATACGGCCTTCAAATTGTGTCTTATCGCGGCCACTAATGATTCTGGTGTAGACAAAACGCATGTCACGGTAACAATTCTTTAGTCTGGTATCGTTGAAGGTTGGGTTTTCTTTTTAAACCGTTTCTACACGACACAGGAAAACAGCCCTAACTAATTTATAGTCGAAACTACTTTTAGGTCGTGACTTTGTATCTGTTGTCTCAATCAAATTGTTGGAAGCCGTACTTTGACCTTTAATTGTTTTAACATGTTTAAATCACGTTATTTGGCCTATGGCGGAAAGCTTTTTCACTGACATTAAAAATTAAAAGATGTCTTTGAATATGTCGTCGTTCAATTCCTTATTTAGCTTTCTAAACGCAGCTATGCTGTTAACTGTCTACTACAAAAGATTGTATGATATCCTGAATATGTATTTTGATTTTGTTTTGTCAATTAAACGTTTGCCTTTTATCTCCCTTCTCATATGTATAACATCATTAACATGATCGTTAAATGCTTGAGTGACTCTGTCTTATTGTGGTTTTATCAACATGATACCCAAAAGGTAATATAGTCTATAGGAATGACATTCTTGACATACTATTAAAAAAGTCACCGATTACATCGATGATTTTGAACTTTAAATCACAAGCAACAATGCACATACTATGCAGTTATATATTTCTGTACCTATCGTATTTCCGTGTGGTTTAGATCTGATTTATAAACAGATTAACTATAAATTGATTCAAGTATATGATTAGATTGTATATGTTTTTGGAAGGATAGTTAATCGTGATTTAGAAAGTTAAAGCAATGTAGGAAAAATGGACACACTTTCCATGTACATCTTGCAAATTGAATGACTAGAAGTAAACAATCCGTGTAATCGTTTTTTTTTTATGCCCTTCTTAAATCTCTTAAATTGTATGGTAATGATAGAGAATTGAGATAAAGTAAATGATAGAAGAAATATGGTTCACCTTACCTTTGCTCTTGCTATTCGACATGACTATTTGACAATTTCTTTTCCAAAACTAAAAATATACATATATATATATATATAATTCTAAGTAAGGATGCACTTTCGCCAAGATTTGTCATTTTTATAAACGGACGATTTAGATCTTCAAGTATTGTATATAAATTTGTGAAGTCGTAGGCTTTTTAACAAATCTTTACTTTGAATACTGTAGATTTATTATTATTGATTTCGTAGTAGCAGGTGAACAATTTTCAACGAAGTTCAAATATTATATAGGCATGTTTGCAGAATTTTGTAAAACCACGAAATCAAATATCAACGAAAATACATGTTTTGCTTATTTCACGAAAATTGGTATCCACGAAAATAAATGAACCGACCGTAGTTCGAAGGAGGATATTTAAATTCAACTTTCTGTCAAAAGTAAAAGAAAAAACAAAACCAACATATGATATGTGAATATCACATGGCCTTTGCTTGAGGTTGGGCTACGATAAAACAATTATAAAAACCTAAAAGGAGAAGAACAAATGGGCCACTTTTGATCTCATCAATTCGATAATCAAAACTTATTATTATAAATCTACCACTTAATATCATTTACATGTTAATTTGACATAAGTCCCGTATACATCAGTATTCCTGGTTTTGATTTTTAATATTTGCATTTAAGCTATCATCAGACTTCTTGATTTCAAAACAAATTGCTGAAAAATTATCATTCCGCGATTTTGTCATTAATACTTAAAATTCCCCCAGTGGAACGTTTTGCCCTACAATGTATTTTATAAACAATCATAAACAATGAATTTTTGCGTGTAATGTTTTGTTTTGTTTGGCCTTGGCTCAAAGTTTTTTTTTTTTTTTTTTTTAATTTTTTAAATGGTTTTAAAATGGCTACTTTTGTCAAATATGGCAATTTCAATATGTTTATGACGGCAAAGTGACATCACAATTGACATGCCTGCAGAATAATCAAAACTGTCAAATAATTTTAATATCTTTGTAGTTTGAGGGGCCCATTACTGGCCCTAATAAAGCCTCTGCCTTTTAGTAAAAAAGATATAAACTATTTTTTTATCCTATCTACGGTTGCACAATACAAAAATGTATTTACTTCCAATCAGAAAACTTAAAACTGGCGTGAATTCCAACATCTACTAATAAGGTACATTTGCATAATTAGGTTAGAGCTTGTCACAAACAAATGAATTGTTATAATCTTGTTCATACACAATGACAACGGCAATTGAAAATTCAATATTTTTTAATTTAAACATTTCATATTTTTTTAATTTGTTTATTTTTTCTTACATATTATCCAATGTTAAGTCAATCGTGCTATTTTCAAATGTAAAAACGTCATATTTAAATTGTATTTATGTTGTATATAAAACATAAATTTGTACCATCCATAAAGAAAGTCTGTCATGCAGCAACATACATTTTTTTTCATCACAATACAAAAAAAAAACCACATTACAGTCCCACCAGGTTTGCTAATAACCACCAAAAAAACGATGGATTTTAGTCAAAATCTTTAAATTTTTTGGTTTTCTCCGGATGAAAAACGTACACTATCTAAGCTTTGTGCGTTCAAAGTAATAATCAAAAGCTGGGATCTTTTATTTCTCAATCCAAAACAACATGTCATTTGTTATTGATGATACAAAAATATCTGATATGACATTAAGGTGACAAATAAAAGTAAGGAGCTCATTTCGTACGGATGAAAAAGCATCTCGTCGTTCAATATAGTTATATGAGACGTATCACCTATCATTTATATTATTTTCAATTTCTTTGAAATCTTGGTCTCAATTATTTTATACAAATTCTATGGCCTTCTTTTTTTTTTTTTTTTTTTTTACAAACTATCATTTATTTTATAGGTAACTGTAATGTTCATAAACGTTGTTGTTTGGAATTAATTGAAAATTCAAATAATGGCAGTTGTTCATAATGATTCATTTTAGTTGATATTACATTCTAGAAGTCTTCAATTACAGCTCCAAACTAAACTTTTGTATTTCCCACATCATTTCTTGACGTATTTTTCTAAAGTTGCTTAGTTTTTTTCACTACAACCTCTTAATTAGCATGCATGTATATTCAAATTTCCTGATAAAGTTCTATCTATTCAGTGTACATTTTGATTGTCAAACTTTTAACCTTTGTATTCATTCAGTAGATAAAAAAGATCGTTTCTTTAGTTTTTTGCAGAAAAGAACTTTGACGTAATTGCTTTTTTTATATTCTGGCTTGAACAATCTTAAAACCTATTCGATTTTAAATATCCAAAAGATGCTACTAGCGGGAAAGTGTTGAATACAAAGATATACAAAAACTAAATGAAGGGTTTGTTTTTACTGTAAGTAAGTTATAATTTTTTATTTACCTGGAAATATCAGATATTGTTTCCTCTTTGTTATGAATACAACAATATGTCGAATGATGCTGAATTGTTCTGAATGCTTTCTCACACTGACACGATGGGTGCAGTTATATACATTTAAATATACATCTAAATATATTCCCTCATTTTTATTGGCTGATCGAGTCGCATGTTTTTTTTTAAATGTCTTGTAAAATCCGTTTTAAAATAATCATTTATGCGTATATTAAACATTAAACTTTAATCATATTTTATTTTCAAATTCGGAGCCCTTGTGGGGCATACAGATACATACATGCTATAAGATAGCAATAAGATAAACTATGGTCAGATATATGATATAAATTTGAATAACTATATTAAAAGGTTTAAGTACAGCTGAAATCCTTCGTATAATGTCAGAATACAATGTTACAGAAATAATTTGTGAACATATAGTAAGGAATATCTACAATGAACCTCATCCATATCTTAAATCCATATACATTAAAAAAACAGATGCTGAGAAAATGTCAATGAGCCATCGACCCATCAATAAAGAAAAACAAAACAATAGAAATCCATTACCATATCTGCAATCTGTTAAGGATGTTCGGTACTCTTGTTTTTTTAACAATTTATTAGATATTTAAATCCTCTGGTTTTATCTATGTAGTGCCATTAAGGTGGATGCGGGGGTCTTAAGTAAAATCATTTGTCAAAATGTAGTTTTTATCGTGCTTTTTTCCAAAATATAATAAAAAGTATAGGTTACCGGACTTTTTTTCACGCTACAGGTTGTGCAAAATTGTCAGATTTTGTATAGATTTTGCATGGAAAATCCAATTTTGTGTGATAAAAAGAAAACTACACCATAGAATTTTAAGATTAAATGTGAGATGATAGCTCGATAGCTCTTATAACAAGCTTTCTGATAAGAAAAAGAAAAAAATTGTGTCACTGGACTTGTTTTCTTGCTACATATTAAAATAGGTAAATTCATAACACTTTCTATTATAAAAATAACTTTATCTGAGTTATCTCCCCTACTATCTGAGGTAGCTCCCCTTATGTGGCAAAGTTGAAAAAAAAACGAATCAAACAAAATTAATGTGTTTTTTTTAGAAAAAAACAGCCGTAAATATGATAAAACACATAATTTTCTATATTAACATGAAAAGTCTTACACATGAATTACATACTACTCTCAAAATTTGCACATATCATTAAAGATCTAGACCAATTGTTATCTGCTACTTCAAAATCCAAGATGGAGGAAGACACCCCAACCAACTTAAACAAATTTTGCGCGCTAACCCTTACTTCTCTTTTCATAATTTTATTACATATACTCTTAAAAAGCCTTCTTTTAAAATCTTATAAAATCCTCATTATTGTTTTATATTTTTGGAAAGGAAACACGTGCCAATGTTAAGAGAGACACGGACCTTTTAAAATTTTCTGCTTTTTAAGTTCATTTATTTATATACTATCAAATTATAACAGTGTTTTGAAAAGCTTGTTATTGCTAGATTGGATCCTACTTCATTTGCGTTTTTCTTGCTTCTTTTTCATTTTTGAAACATTTAAAAAATGCATGTAGCATCCAGCTAAAAAGAAACCGAAAACATTTTGTCAGTGTTTTCTGTCAAAAAAAAAAACAAAACACACCTGCATGCTTAATAAATTGGACACAAAACAAATGAACGACACTTTTGTATGCCATGTATAGATAATAGTCGTTTAAATCAAATGTTTTGTATATGTTTTGTCTTTGTGATTAGAAAAGTAAATTGATGCAGTTGATTTTTTCATTATTTTCAGATTTTAATAGATCACGTTTACTCCATTCGAATTTTTATAATTAAGTACAGTCTGAATAATCTGTTCATACGAAATTTGAATTGTTCTCAAAATGTATTTGTTTTCATTCACTAACAAGTATCTTTGTAAATGTGAGGATACACATTTTAAGTCCTTTTTGGTCGTAAAGCTCTTTAATCGTTTCAGTTATTATACATCCCTGGCTTTTAAACATTCGGCTTGGATCGTACCAATGCTAAAAAGGATAAACTCAGAAACCTGCTTCGGACGCATGCAATTCAAAAAGTGTTTTTTTCTTTATTTATGGAGAAATTATACTTTTATAACACAAAATAATGTATAATTATAATAACTTTATCATACAGAATGATATACCTTATATATATTTATTTCAATCATTGGTGTCGTGTCTTACAAGAATAGCAGACTGGTTATTTACATTTTGAATCATATTCACAGGAGTAAAACATGGTCTCGTTCGACAAAAGATTTACCAATTCACTTGAAAAACCAAAAAATCAGCCGAACTCAATTACCTGCTTGGAAACCTGTACAAATAATCCATGAAGAAGAGAAAAAAAGAGAACTATGTGTGGAGAGTTGTCTCATTGGCAATCATACCACATCTTCTTATTTTTATATACTAAATTTATATTGATTTCAATTGATATTTTATAGTGTGTCTTTCTATGTTGTAATGTTACACTACTACTTCAGGTGGGGTGATGGTTGGCACCTGTTAAAACGTTTAAACCCGCTGCATTTGTTTGCACCTGTCCTAAGTCAGGAACCTGTTGTTCAATGGTTGTCTTTTGTTGATGTAGTTCATAAGTGTTTCTCGTTTCTCGATTTTTGAATAGATTATACCGTTGGTTTTCCTGTTTTGTTTTACACTAGTCATTTTGGGGTCTTTATAGCTTGTTGTTCGGTGTGAGCCAAAGGCTCCTTGTCGAAGGCTGTACTTTGACCTATAATTGTTTACTTTTTACACATTGTGACTTGGATGGAGAGTTGTCTCATGGGCACTCATACCACATCTTCTTATTTCTAATTATTAATTAAACTAAACAAAATATCAGAGTATTGATTCGATGAATGAAGTAAAATTGATTTTTTGCTTTTACCTATATAAATCATACAATAATAAAAGAGATGCAAAGATACCAGAGGGACATTCAAACTCATAAGTCGAAAATAAACTGACAACGCCATGGCTAAAAAAGGAAAAAGACTAACAGACAAACAAAAGACAAACAGCGTGGATTTGTTTTTTTAGTTTTGAAAATTCAAAATTTCAAAATTAGAGTAGTTTGATACTTGCTACCAGTTTTAACGCTTACATCCGGGTATCCTGGTTCCCGGTACTACGTTCCAGGTATATGATAATAGCCATACGCTGTCACGAGGTCCTGGTACTGGGTTATAATGATATATGTGTAACATACTGAATATATAGGTAATAAAAAGTGTATAATAGAGTAGGTGTATACTGGAGTTATCAATGTAAATCTACACTTGTATTGTTATGACATACTAATAGGATGTCCTGTTTATACAGAATCACATTTAAAAAAAAAACACGGAATGTATTTTTAACATTCTTAATCAAATATGTTGTAATTCGATTCTGTGAAAATAGGTGGCATGATTAAAGTTACGGAAGTATTGATATATTTAGAATTCCTGGTAAAGAAATGAAACACACATAATTTTTACGTTTTGAATAATTTGTTTAACACTTGTACGTCTATCAATCTGTCCATCTATACATTAATCCATCCGTCCTACGAACCCACATATGTTGCATAGTGTGTCCGTCTCAATCCCACGTTCTCAATTTTCAGGCAAGATCTGATATGTATTGCGTGGTATTAGAACAGTAAATGTGTGAATATTCAAAGGATTTTTTAATTTTCGACAAATAACAGAATGATGACCTTTGTCAGTTTTACAAAATTATGCACACAGGGTACATAGTTTGTTCGGTTAACTTCTCGTACAGTTTTCAAGAAATCAGAACTCAACGTAAAATTTTCAAATTGATCTTTTGAAGTTTTAAGTTTCTCGAGCCACAAACCTTCTGTTTTATTTCTATTCAATTTATGTCTAGAAAGGTTTCCAAACGTTTCAATAGTATTAAAGGGTATACTTATATCTGTGCGTGTCTTTAAAAACAATTGAGTATCATTATTTTAAGCGAACCTTTATGATCCTATCATTGAATTCTCTAAGCATACATTTTCAATTCAGATAATTCTCAGGGCAAAAAGAAAATAATGAATCAACATGCATTATTGATTAACCTGTCTTTGTCTTTCCTAAGTTTCAGTTTTCAAACAAAATAAAGCGTACTCAGATCTCCTGATCCTAATTTGAAAACGAGTTGTTTTTTAAATCAGTCTAATTACTTACATGCAGAGGTACTGAAATATCCAATTTTACTGCTGCTACAATTAATAGAACCGGGTCGGTGATACAGCATAAGTCTTTATGATTTACAATTGAATTTGAATATTGGTAATAAAACAAAAGAGTTTGTAGAAAATCGTAATACAGAACTCCTTAAATAGAATTGAGGTGTACCCCTATTTATATCAGTCAAGAAGTAAGTACTTGATGTGGTAATATCTATTATTTTAATGCGTAATTTGGTCAATAGCCTAGATTTCCTTTACGACTATATTGCATTTACTACTTAAAGTATGACATTCGTTAAAATTCTTGGTAATATTTAAGAATATGCACATGTTTGAAAACTATCAAGTGCAGTTTCTGTAATTTTCCGAAAAATTTTAAACGTTATTTGATCACTTAAGGATGTTCGCTCCTCTTGTTTTTGATTTTTTGCCAGATATTCGATATCCTCTGGACTTATCCGTATAGTGCCATTAAAAATTTATGCCCGCGAACACCTACTTTTCTTTTCATAATTTTGTTACATATAGTTTAAAAAGCTATATTTGAAAATCTTTGAAAATCCTTGTTATTTTTTCATTGTTTTTGAAAGAAAAAAGGTGCTAATGTTAAATGTATGAAAAATCTAGAGAAAATCATTTCCCGCCAAATTTTCAATGGCTTATATCTCGAAAAAAGCACACGGACCCTTCATTTTTTTCTGGTTTTTTAGTTCCTTCATTTATAGACTATCAATTTATAACAGTCTTTTAAAAAGATTGTTATTTTGAAATAGAGTAGAGAACATCCTTAAACACATTACATATGTGTAACAAGAGGAATATCATATTAAAATATATACAAACGGTTCAATTCAATGATGGATATGAAAAAGAATAGATTATCAGAGAGACAATTCGCAAAATTGTCATGAGTTTACTAATTAACAATGATATATTTTTCTAAACTTTAGCATTACAAAGTGTTAATAAGCATACATTTTTTTTTTATATAGAGCATAATAAA